TTTTGCACTTTACCATATTCCTTCTATTGTGTATCCACTGGTTCCGACTCTATTAGCACTATGAGTATTACAAAATTGTCCTGACATTAACCATCATGTAATTATTAGTTTTGTGGTTGTTTTTTCTTATTTTCTATACTTTTAGGCAATATTAAACTGACAATCATTGTTTGTGAACGCCATAGTCACCACCTTAAAAAATTCTGTATTATTCAGGATTACTCACACTACCACCACAAACACTGCATTAGACCTTGGTAGACTTTGGTACTTTTTCGCATTCACAAGTATTTTGTGTTTATCCTGTTTTCTTTTTGCTGTTGGTGTCTTCAGATTTATTTTTTTTGTTTGTTTAATACTTATTTTAAATGTCGGTAAAATTAGATGCAAATATTGTAGATATGTGCTGAAAATTCCACACTGTACAACTAGTACTGTTTCTGGAATAAAGCAAATTATTATAATTATTATTATTATTATTCATTTTGTGCCATTCAGACAAATATTTCAAAGTAGAAATTTGTCATTTGTAGGTATGCATCTCAGACATTTATTTTCAAGGATTATTAGACTGAAGTTAAAAAACTCATATCTGACCTACTGTGTCATACAAATCTTCTGAGAGTATGTATACTTCTCTGTCTTATTCTCCTTTCGTGTATATTTACAAGTGAAAATTATTCAACACTTCCAAACGACTGCTCAAGCTTCCCTTTGCTGGAGCTATCCACCGACTTGTATCACCTTAGAACCATAGCTAGTACACTTCCTTGATAAATTTCTTAAAAAGCCTGACAATTTTTAGACCAAATAAGTAACCTGGATATTTCAGTAGCATAGGCTATCCTCTACAATATTAGGTACAACTCAAGACTAACAATAAAATATTTTCAAGTATTGATTTGTAGGAATTTGATTGATTGGTTACAGGATTTCATCGTGAGATGATGGTCCTCTAACCAATGTCAGCTCATGATGAAATCCTGTAACCAATAGAATATTTTATCACACCTAGATTTCATCACTCTTGTGCTGTTCCAAAGATGGTGATATTTCAATTAAGAGGTCAGCTCTTGCATAACCCTAGAAAACTAGGATGCAAACTACACAATCTATGCTATGTGCATATAATTTAGCCTTGAAAACTGCTCTGTTCTTTATTAACCCAAATGAAACCTGAATACGTAGATTCTCGCGTTTCCGTGAGTTGAATGTATAGACTTCCAGCTTCCTCCTCAAAAATAAGTCAGTTTCAAATGTGCATCTCTGTAAAGTTTTCTGGAAAAGTTCGATTTCTTCAATTAGTTTGTGTAGTAAAAATTATTTTCCAATTGTCTGATGTAGTTTTCTCAAAATCCAGTCGACATCATGATAAATTTATTTCAAAGTACATTCATCAATAATTCATGACACATTGCTGTCATATTCCAATTACCAACACATTGTTTCATTTGAATGCATTAATTGTATTCATTGACAAAATAGTTAAAATAGTAATAGTTTGTAAATAACAAAGAGGAAATGCTTATTCAGTCACACTCTGAACCCTTCACTAAAAATCAGTTATATGAGGAGTATCCTATATGATGGGTTACAAGTGAACTAAGATTAAGATTATCACTACTGAATTGGAAATCATGCATTTGATAAAAGAACCTTCACTTAATTTGCTGTTTTCTAAAAACACAAATTTCATCCACTTAAACGGATAAATGTGTTAGTTATACTAGATATCTTAGTTTAGAAATGTGAAACACTCAGTTATATTTGGATTTAATACGAGGTGAAATCTGCAAATAAACAAATCTCAAGTATTTATATACTAAAAGACTTTAGTTCACTTCCCTAGTGTTAATTGAAGTAAATTAGTATACTCAGTTGTTGGTCGAAATTTAATCCCGATTCTACCTTGTGAGTGTCTGATTAAACTATGTTGCTAGTGGAATGGTAAGTTAATCAACCAGTCTTATATTTATTAGATATTTTTACAGCCAGATTTCTTTTACTCCCAGTTAAGTGGAATAAGACTTGGTCTAATCACCCGTCAAAATTATCTGACCGGGAATGAGGAGTTAAAATAAAATTCTGTCAGCCTGAAATGTTTTCATCCCATAAACTATATGACGCATGATTTTTTCACTAAAAAAACCCGTAGTGTTTTCACAATTCCTATACATCCCATCCAACAATCTACACACATTTGCTATTTTTATCTTTCTTATTTACCTACCTGCATTGAATTACTTTATAAAGAAGGCCTTTGATAGGTGTACTAAACACATAAGCTTATTGTAACTTTGATAAGATGTCAGTAATGAATAGCGTGATATCAGCAATTACAATCCCATAGTGTCCCTCATTCATTGGAGAAAATACAAATATCAATGAGATGCGCACTAGTGACTTGCCCTATTCAGGTAGGTAGTTGCCTGGGGTTCTAGTGAGAAGTCGTGACCAGTAGGGTGCAGCAGGTCGGGCGTGAGGACAAATACTCGCCGAAGACATTGGCTTGGAAGTCGCGCTATGTCGTGAATTGGCAGAAGTTAGATTTCATGGACCATTGGATCGGGTCCCAGTGGCTTAATGGTATACGAGCTCGCCTTGTAACCAGAAGGTCCTGGGTTCGAATCCCGGTGGGTGCGTACTGCTGAAGAGTCCCAAACTAGGACGAAACGGCTGTGCAGTACTCCCAGGTTTTCCAATGGTTCTCTAACTAATGTCAGCTCATGATGAAAATCCTGAAACCAATCAAATCCCTCCAAACCAACACAACACTTGAAAATACAAATGTTTTAATCACCATGCATTTCATCCAGCCAATTTATACAGTTTTTCTCGAACCAATAGACCTGAATTCAGCTTGATCATCAAACCGATAAAGTCTAACAGCTTTATGCCACTATTTGTTCAGATTTCTGAGTCCTGGAAACATTTCGAAATATCATCTATCATGAAAGGCATTGAGCATGAAACAGGAAAATAATTGTTCTTAATCTGCCAAGTTACATGTGAGTTTTTCAAGCTGATATCAATTAGAATTCAAGGAAACTCATTATGCGGATAGAATGTCTACCAATAAAGTGAACATGTTTATAAAGCGCTATCTTTTATTGGTTGAGCACAGTTCAAAAAAGGTTAACTAGGTCAGAGTTTCTTCAAAAGTCATCTCAATTCGCTGTGTAGTAATTTACTGAATGTAAACTTCAGTAGTATTATTATAAGCATGATAAACCAGCATATAAGACTCAATTTACTATCCTCAAGTTTTTAGCTATAATTGTACAGCCTAAGATATTCCCAAAAAATTTGGTTTGTGGGAACAATCTGTTAACTGGTCATTCAATGGAGCACATCAAGAAATATAGAAATATTGTCTTCGCACTAATGAAAGAAACCCAAGTATGTTTTGGATGGATTACAAATACTTGTAAAAAATATGGCTTGAAGTCAATCTCATCGACCGACAAATTGTCAAATGATCTAAGACAGAAGGTAAACTACGAAGATGGTGTTTCGATACATTCTACAAACCTGAAATTGTCGTCTGAGAAAATGACTCAATTTGGTTTAGAACAATCAAGCGTATTCAAAACAGAAATCATCATACATCAACTAAGCAGCTAAGCACTCAATGACAGATATTTCCCCGGGAACTGGTGAAAATGGATTCAGATAAAGAATCATTCACTTTTCTTCTTAATCATAGAGATAACAACGGCCACTTTCAGCCACTAACAGAACAAAAATTAATTCTTGACGAATTCAAAGTAAGTTATTACTCTAATTTCAATCATTCTAAAGATGATAGCTGTATTCAGGCGCAATTTTAAATACCTATTAAATGTCAGTAAATAAGTAACGTGCACTACCTTAAGACTGATTTGATCATAGACCAACAGGAGTAGAGGAACTAACTGCTGAGGACCAAGGCACACTGAATACCTGTTTCCTCTAAGTTTAGGGCTTTTCAGTATTGTGCACCCGTCAATCCACGAGGGTATTCAGGCTGAGATTATCACCTTATTACTCAGAAGCTGGATAGGGGACTACATAACCAAGATGTTTTCAGTGCTCATCAATATGAGTTCTGAGTGCACTGACATATCATGTCTTATTTCCATGATTGTTTATTGTGACACTATTAAAACGCGCGAGCACCTAGTATTAATACTAGCAATCAAACGCATTCCTGGAGTTTCATACTCCGAATAAATTTAGATGCATACTTAGACAATGACCATAAAGGTTAATGCATTCAGGTTTATTCACGTACACTTACCACATTGCTTTTAAATTTATCAGCACAAAGTATATCAACAATTCGTTTAAATAAAATGTCCACAACTTCAATATTTTGGCTACAAATAGCCGTTAGGAGTGCCGTCTTTCCATCCAAATCCTTCAACTACGGGAAACAAAAGAAGCCATCTTCAAATCGACTAACAAATACAAAAATGGCATACTGCCAAACTTCTTTACCACTTCCGCTATTTCGGCAAAATTTCCATTTCAAAAATCAAATTCTTTATTTAGTAAAACACACTAACTTATAGAAAATCAACCAAGTTTTCCTATCTCCTGCATATCTATGCAGTAACTGTTCGCATCTGTAAGATGCATTTTGTCACTGGAACGAGCAGTGTACTTAAAATTTTGATTGTTTCCATAACAATTCAATATTTTGTGTTACACTTACGATATACCCAATCAAAAAAAAAAATAAGTTTTCTTCATTTTAAACAAGGACATTTAAAGTAGATATCTCAAGCAAAAGTACCTGAAAAAGACAGTTTTCTGAATATGAAATGCTTCTTGTGACCGTAAAACATCTCTTTCTAGAATTCTGAAAGTTCTATTTCCGGTTGAGGTGTGAACTACTGAATATTCTCAAACTAGGAAGTAACAGCTGTCTAATGCTTTCTGGTTTTCGAAGATTCTTACTTTCTGACAATATCTTCATTGAAACCACGGAAAGTAATTCATGATTTAAATGAACTCACCTCTGCATTTGCATTGTTTTCAATAAGTTGAAGTGTCGCCTCAGTATTGCCTCTTAAAGCTGTATAGTGCAGAGCAGTACGTCCAGTCTTATCCTTTTTATTTACCTTTACACCCATTTGAATAAGATGATCGATAATCTGGCTACTATCCACGCTACTTTCACTCCGTGACTCTGGTGAATCAGTGTATATTTGGCTATCTGTAGGTTTACTTTTTTCTTCGTTATTTTCAATGCTGGTAGATTCTGTTATTTCCATATCCATCTCTGGCTTAAAATAACACGACAATAAAAGGAACAAGCGCCGGATGAAACATCACAAATATCCCTTATATAGTTTTTATCTTACACAGTAAAACACCACTTCAAGGCTATGCGGACCAATTTTGTGAAATTACAGAGGTGGTAAACGGATTAATGCTAAACAGGTTGCAGTAACAGGCTTTAATTTTGTGAAACAATCATAGTGGTTACATCAAATCCAGCTAGAAATACGTTTGTGCAAAGTGAAATAAAATCACATTTGTCTGATGAACTAAACCGAATGATATTCTGAAATTTCTAGGTATAATAACCGCGTTTACATGACTGATAGTACTCATGATCTACTTTCTCTTCAAAGTCAATGGAAAGTATCTTAAGTTGAATATTACTGTGGAATTTATTAGTCTTCGTTACCACTAAACGTAGAAAGAAACTCCTTCTGGTGAGATGGTGTATTATTTGATGTATGGACATGGTTTATGGCTATTCTTGGTGCTAATTTTGTAGTTCGATGAATAGTTTAGGTAGAACGACACTCTAATTTCTCTGACTCATCTTATATGCAAGGCTTACTTTCTCAGTTTCAAACGATTATTTTTAAAGTTGGTCAGTTTTCTGAAGCCCCATGTGTTATTTCTCATAGTTTCATGCTGGTTATGAATTTCTTACATTTTCACAGGGCTTTTATATCAAAATTATCGGATAGCTTTGGAGGTAAAATAAAAATGATAAACTTTAAGAACTGCCAACTACAAATTCGTTTCCAGCAACCTACACCTGTTGTTCTCATATGAGGCACCTAGAATGAGACCTGAAAGGAATCACTGATCCTATGTTTATTCTTGATGGTAATATTTAGTACAAGGAGTTCTCGTATCCGGGTTTGTAAGAGTTGACTTCATTGACATCCAGGTAGATCTCATCACTGATCAACATCACTTAGAGAAACGTTAAAAACCTGGGAGCACTGAACTGCTTGTGGGAGGTATAGATTTCTTGAAGCTGTAATGGGAAGATGTATCCAATGGGGTGAAACATGTAGGCTATGGGGGCAGATACTCGCTGGTGAAACTGGGTGGTTTCGGCGCCATATTATGAACTGACAGAGGTTATTATTCACGAATCATTGGACTACAACCAGACGAAAAATGGCGAGAAGATTCTCCTTGAAGCTGAAGGAGCTAAGATCGATTGCTTATGACTACGTACTTACTGCTGACCAGTTCCAAACTAGGACGAGACAGTTAGTCAATGTCTCTTCAGTTTTCAATGCTTACCAAACAGTAAGCTTTACTAAACACTCTCAGTAGACTTCATATGACAAAACGTGCATAAAAATGTTTAATGGATGCCAAATAAGAATTAGTGAGTGTATTTCAAATTGTCGGAAATCATAACACTGTTTTCTGTGAATAATCATCTGATCTAGTCAATTTCAAACTGCATTGATGTCTGCATTCTGATTCAAAGCATAGAGTAGAGTCACTAGTTGTTCATTCATCCAGAAAATTTCGTCATACCCTGCATTTTCAAATAGGCCCTAAAGAAATGACGTAAATACACATACACAAAAACAGCCCGTTAAAGTGACAAGAGAGGATTTTTAATTTCTCCCAGTTCTTCAGTCATCTACAATGGAGAAAGTATATTGAATTTGTCACACAGAAAATCTAAGAGAGATATCACTAAGAGAGATTTCAAAACTAACTTAAATGAAAATGTAGATACTGTAAGAAAAAAAGTGTGATACACGAAATGAACGAGCTTTTCAAATGTATTAATACAGTAGAGAATAGTGAATTCAATAGGTCACTGTGTCCAGTGAGCATGCTTGAAGCAAGATAATGCATTTCTGTCGGAGTACACTCAGCTAAAACTGCAGTGTACTGAGAGATTATTGCAATATAAAATGAAGCTAAAGATCTCTGTAAAATCCACTTTCATCACTTAGTTGATAAATTTCCACAAACCTGAATGACACAACAACAGAAGCCTCACTGTATTTTGTACTGGCATAACCATGAAAACCAACGAATAACTGACCCTTAATTTCACTCTATTCACTGACACTAGTCAATGTACTATTTTAGTCAGTGATTCACAGACATTACTTCGTCATTATGAAAACTGCTACCGAACAAGTTCTTTCCATTTCAATGGAAGTTAAATTCAGCAGAAAATGGAAAACTGACTGTTTGTATGTGATGAATAGACTGCCCAAGTAGCTTTCCTTATCGGACTGTTCTTAAACTTAGAAGGTGATGGAAGCTGGAGGGTAAATCTTCGGAGAGACATACATGATTCTAGTAGAGCCTATGTGGTTTACTGCACTAAAAGAATGTGAAATACCTGAATTAGCACTTTCATGTATCTCCGAAAGATCAGTTCCACTATGACTGTGCTAAATAAAAAGCAAGTACTGACGAATTTGTATGTGTGAACTTCGATTTTAGACTAATCAAATTACGATATTTTAATTTCATGTGGTTTTCTCTGTCGCTTGAATTCTTGTCTCAATAACTAACTTTGTAACGACAGAAGGCAAGAGTCAGGCAACAGATCATTTATTAAGGAAATCAACGCATATTTATATATTTTCATGTACATTACTATGGATATTTAAGTGAACAAACACAGTCTTCTGATTGGTTGTTTCTCACGTAAAGTTAATCTTTCATCTATTTGTGACTGTTTCTTGAATGTCAAATCCTCTATATGTTAACTGCATCCGCCTACGCAAAGTCTGCTGTGGTCGGTTTTGAATCAATCTTTGTTCACATTTTCTCACGACAAATCTTGGGAACGTAAATATTGACGTAAATTACTGTCTACCAATTTGGCTAGTAGACAGCTCTCACCACAACTTTACTTGACTGTATGTGCTATGGTAAGATATTAGATGCTGCGTGTGATCACGATTCATTCATACTGTCTGTCATTGTCATACTCACAGAAGTTTACAGAACGTCAGTAGTTACTCAAAAATCTTCTACTTAGATCACTTCGACCTGGCTAGCAAGTACTGCTGGTTGATGTGAGTAGTATTCAAGTACTCATGCCAATCAATCAGTAGTACACAGTTTTACTCATTTAGACCTGCTTTCTTAATTACCATTTATGTTACCAAGCAGATCACATAGTATGATTTGAATAATTTGGGTTCCCGAAGGAAAATGTGGTGAAATTTCACCCCCCTCGAACTGTGTAGATTGCGGACTGTGATTTCGATTTGTTCTTTTTTGGTCCTACATCGTCCAGTAATTATACTGTCACTGGTCATAAAGGAGATGATAAATGACGAACAAATGACTAGAGTCTTAGCAGTCACGTCTGTTCTACAGAAATTCTCTCATCATAACAGTTTTTCAGCAAAAAGTACTGAATACAACTTTAATTACTGATAACAGTTATTTTGATATGAAAACAAACTCACTAGCGGATTTCGTAGGACTACAATTGACAAATTAACACAAGACTGTTAGACTTACTCCTCACTATAAAATAGCCCGTCAGACTTCTTTTGTATGCAAATGATAATGTGAGCAATTATTTATATATGCATCAATCATATGTTCCAATGGATCCAGTGGTGTTTGATTAGTTATTTTCAAAACATATTTTTCTTATCAAGCAAACTGTCTATGCTCATCGAAATAAGTGTGAAAAGGTGGTTGAAGACATTCTCTGAATTGATTTATCAATATTTACTGAGCACTGGCGATAAAGTAATAAAATGAAGTACCTACGTGAATGTCCCAACAAATCATTGGATAAAGTGTGTTTATTGATAAAACTCTCTCTCTGTGTGTGTGTGTGTGTGTTATTTCATTGTAAATGGGGCTTAAGTTGACTGTTTTTAAATAACAATTCATACAACCAAGTTTGTCCACCCTATCTCCTTTTTGGACTTTGAAAATAGCAGGATTAAGATAAACATATTCTGTCGTCGCTTTGATTACCAAACACATACACACACACACTTTCTCTGTTCTTTTTAAATCAAATGACAAATTTTATTAAATAGCCTTGTGTTCTCTGCACTGGACATATATTTATTTGGTTTACACTCACTCTGTGCTAAGATAATAAATTTTTACTTTCTCAGCAGTTTAACGAAAAGCATTTCGTAAATATCTTCGCATGAACCCCATTTGGATATTGCGAGTAAACACTTCAAGTAAGTGATGTCGACTTTTGTGGCAAATTACAAGACCTAATGCTGTATTCAAATGCGAAAATTAGTGTGTTGTGTTCAAGAAAAGAACAGACATTTTACAGCTAAATTTCGGGAATTATTGTTGGACTGAATCCGAATTTTTTGTTAATCGATTATGCTGGACTGAAATGTTCGGTCTCTGTTGATATATCGGCCCTTGGTACGGACACTTTGGTGATGTTTGAGGATCAACATGACGTTATTTTTGGTTAGAAGTGTCTATAAGTAGGATCGAGGATGCACATTTCATCCAATTCGGCACTCATCAGTTTGATGTACCTGCATTCTGAGCGAGTGATTGTGTCCCCACTGAGACTCGCACCCTGCACCCATCGTACGTCCAGCCGGTGAGTCCCAAATAGGGCTAAATGGCCATCCTGGGTACCGATGGTTGTCACCATCAATCAGAATAATATCATGTCACTATGTTATTGTTACACAGAACCCATTTCAAAATAATCTACTTGACGAATATTTAGACAATTAACTAGCTTGCTAGTTTTCTAGCCGGTCCCAAACCCTTCAAAGAGGGAAGGTTGGGCGAGGGGCTAGCAACCCTACACCACTAAACCTATCAAACCGCTAGAGAAACTTCAACGCACAGAAAATATATTGAAAATATAAAAAATTCAAATAGCAAACTTATTCTTCACTCGAATCGGAGAGGCGAAATGACACAGCGGGCTGGTGAAAGCCAGCATTCAGGAAACCAGTCAGCCGACGTGTCTTCTCTCAATGAAAACAAGAATATGAATGGGGACGTGGAATGTCCATTCGATGCACGA